CCCTGCCTATGTTTCCAGCCTTGGTCTCCTCACCCCTCCCCTCCCCTGCTGTGCTCCAATGCTCAGAAGTCCTGGGGGTTTCCTCCAACAAGCATGGACCTCTGACCTCTAGCTCTGGACACTACTGGTCCATCTGGTTTGATGCCCTTCCCACCTACCCCTTCACCCTCTTCAGAAAAGTCTTTGACCCTCCGTGGACCCTCTGGTCTGAGTAAGGAGTTCTGCTTTTCTTCCATGCTTTCTTCTATCACAGTTCTTCTCACGCTGCTGAATGTATATGGATGTATCTACCTTGGCCTTCAACCATGAGCTTCTTCCGGAAGAAATCTCGCCTTACGCATCCTGGGAATCCTACTGATTAAACAGCAGCTGGACTAAGGTAGGCACCCCACGATCGGATGAATGAATGAACGATGAGCTAGGAGTGGAGGCAAATGTACTGAAGAAAGGAAGAGCTTTCCAGAAGAATGGTTCTCAGAGTGTGGTCCCTCGACCAGCAGCACCAGAATCACGTGGGAATTTAGGAGAAACGCACATTGTTAGGCCCGACCCCTGACCTACTGAGTCAGAAATTCTAAGATGGAGCCCAGCAGCTTGCTTTTAACAAGACTTCCAAGTCATCCTGAGGGATGCCAGAGCTTGGGAACCAGTGTGGTAGAGAGACCCCTAGACCAGTACTCTCTGTGAAAACACCAGTCACGGACGTCTCTATTAACTATATGCACCGTGACAAAGCTTTACGTGTATTATTTATGTCTTTACATATTTATTTATTACGTTACGTGTATTATTTATGTCTCACAAGAGCTCCGTAAGGGAGATGTTATTTTATTTATCATCATCATTCCCACCTTACAGATAAGGAGACTGGAGTTTAAAAAGCTTCAGTAACTTGCCCAAGGTCCACAGATGTAAGTAGAGGGCGTGGGTGGGAGCCCCGCAGTCTGGCTACAGGAAATGACCTTGCCTGAGGAGCGGGGCCTCAGCGGCTCAGGTACAGTGCCCAGCGGAGCCCCCGGAACTTAAGTGAGGAAGCCTGGTGCTAGTCCCAGCCCTGTCTCCTCACATCCCGCACCCTTTGGCCTCTTCAGATTTCAGTTTCATCTGGGGAAATTAGGAGACAAAGTTTGGGTTCAAATGGGTCAATTAACGTACTTGAAAGTTTTCAAAAATTACACATAGGTGTTATTTGCGTATCTCCTCCCTACATCCCAACACACAGCTTGAGAAAGGCACACAGGTAACTAACCAGCTTCCCCTCGGATCCCCTGATCACTACCCACATTCTTCTCGCCCCCTCAGGTGGCCACGCTGACAGTGCCGCCGCTTAAGTCTAACAAAAAATAAGGAAAGGCTGCCCCCTGCTGCCCAAACGATGAATGACCTCACTCGGCACCTGCCTGACAGGTCTAAACTCCTTTCACCCCACCCCACCCCCCAAATAAAAGCTTCGCGGGCACTTGGGCTACTAACGGTGTGTGACACAGTGGCAAAGATCTGGGACAAACCCCATCAGGATAAAAAGTAGTTGTGAAACCAAGACAGGGTGGTGTTCTTTGTAAGTCCAAATCGGGATGAGAGTCCCCAGCTAGATGGTCAAAAGGAAACCCTTACTTAGGGAGTAAATTCGTGACAGGCAAAAAGGGTTAATAAGGAAAATACTATATGGAACTAGATCAAAGTAAATCAGTACATTGATGAAAGTTCCTCAATGTGGAAAGGGAACAAGAAAGAGGCCTTGCCACCTTCCGACTGATAAAAGCAATTGATGACCTTTTATTGGGCTACTGTGAGACCTGTCACTATTCCTGAGTTAAATAAACAGACTGTCTCCCCTTTTTCCCTAAATTCTAAGAGCCGTGCCAGTTGCGGCCAGCTCTCGCACCACCAGACAGCGCTCTGCTGTGCTTCCAGCTGACAGCTGCCCTTCTCAAGGACAAGCAGTGGGTCCCAGGACTGGTGCAGAAGTGGAAACACCCAGGGTCACTTTGTGCTTAATTGTTTATTTAAATGCAAATTAATAAACCTAGAGATTTTGAGCTCAAAGTATCCTGGGGACTACTCAGAAATATGTATTTTTCACGAGCCTCCTCGGTGATTGGAGACTCACTGAGCAAATTCAAGACAGTACAACAGCTTCTTGTATAAACTGGTCTTCTTTGGAAAAAACGAGTTTGTAAATAAAACAAGTATCTTTTTTCTCTAGTGGCAGATTTTAAAATATCGCTTAAAGCAGTATTTTGCTGTTGTTTTTCTTTTTAAATTTTATTAAGTTTTACTTTAAAAGTAAATAGATAATAGCTATGTTATCTATTTAAAATAAAATAGCTATGTATGGCTCAAAAATCAACACAATGAAGTTGACACTGAGAAATGTTAATTTTCCTTATACTCTGTGTCCTCCACTCATTCCTTTTTTTTTTCTTAACGTCTTCATTGGAGTATAATTGCTTTACAATGGTGTGTTAGTTTCTGCTTTATAACAAAGTGAATCAGCTATCCACTCATTCTTAACAGGTAATCATTTTATCCATCACTTTTGTATCCTTCCATTGTTTCTTCGTGCAGCATCAAACAAACAGAAGTATAATTCGTATTTTAATAATAAGTATTATTCTTACTTTGTTAGACAAAGGTAGCATACAGGAGCCTTATTCTACAGCTTGTTTTTATCCAGTTAACATTATATCTTAGAAAGCTTTCCATAGCAGTATGAAACATTTTCATTCTTTTTTAGCATTGAATAATATTCTGTGTGAATGTTTCACAATTTATTTACCCAATCCCTTACTAATGGGCACTTGAATTTTTTCCCAATCTCTTTGCTATTCCAAATAATGCAAATACTTTACACACTTTTTTTTTTGTATGCAAGAGTAATTACAGGATAAACTGTCAAAGGTGGGATTTCTAGGTGAAAAGGTAAGCACATTTGTAATTTTTATAGATATTTCCAAATTGCTCCCATGAAGAGTTGTATTATTTTGCACCCACTGGCAATCAATGTGTAAAAGTGCATATTTCACCAGAAACCAGCCAATAGAACGGTCTTCCATAATTCAATTTGTCAATCATATTGGTGAAAAGTGACATTTCAATGCAGTTTTACTTTGTATTTATCATTGCAAGTTTTCTTTTTCCTATGGTTAAGCACCATTTGGATCTTTTTTTTTCGGAACCTCTGTTCTTTGCCATTTTTATTGGGCTCTGGGTTATTTTCTAATTGATTTCTAGGAGTTCATCGTCATGGGGAGATCAGCCCTCATGACGAGAATCACTAATGCTTTCCCCATACTGTCATTTATCTTTAGATTCTGCGTCTATTTCCCCCTGTAAGCGTGTTATCATTATGTGATCGAGTGTCTTTTTTTCTTCTAGATGTTGTCATAGTTTAAAAGGCAACGAAAGGAAGCGCCATCTAGTGAAATGAGATGCAGACCACTCAGCTGGAGGTTCAATTTCAAGGTCATCTCGTGCAGGGAGAATAAAATATCTACCAAAAACTTAAAATGTTTCTGCCCTTCAGGGAAAAGAGGGAGAAGACCTTGACCGTCATCACTTGGCCGTGTGACTGTATTTGAACGTCCCTCGGGCTGTATTCATTCAGTTCTCCACACCTGGCTCCCCCAGTGCCCTCCACTGGACTCGAATGTCTAAAGTCCACAGTGAGAAGTGCAGTAGGTGATGACACACGTGGTCCCCCCTCACCTCTCACTGCTTAGAAATACAGCTCTCAGCTATCACTTTATCTACCCCTGGGAAAGCCCTACCTCTATGTAGCTTGTGGCCAATTCTCCTTCAGACCACCCTGGAGGTTCAGAATTGGGCCAACGGGGCAGAATCTGGGTACCGAGTGCCGAAAGGTGTGACCTCCGGTGTGGCCAGCATCGGAGCAGTCCCGAGATAGAAAGGGGCTGCTACTATGACGCCAGCTTGCAGAGGGGCAGATACCAGGGAAAGCAGCCCCTGATGCAAAGACACACGGCTCTGAGGGGCTAAGAAGGTCCTGAAGAAAGGGCATGAGCACGAGGAGGGAGCCCCCTGGCCTGGTCCGTCCTCCCCACCACTTGCACCTGGGGTGGTGATGTCACCGCCTCGCCCTCCAGTGCCCTCACAGGGGCAGCTGCTCTGGTGGTTTCTCCCAGACTCCAACTTGGAGGGGCAGACGTATGGGAGGAGCCGTTTTTGTATAAAGCTGTAACGTTGTGAGGACAGGGGGCCCACGGTGATTCAACCCTATGGGAATCCTTTACAAAAACCTTTCTGCCTGTCCCAATTCCCACCGTCCTTCCATTCTTCTCCCGGGTCACAGGCCCAAGGGTGGTTTGGGTCAGAATGTCTCCACCTTCCCCCCGTCCACCTGTCAAGCCCAGACCATGGAGAAGGACAGGCCTGGATCAGAGCTGAAGCTTGCAGGCAGAAAGGCCAGACATAAGAAGATGCCTCTGTGGCCTCATGGGTGAAGGCCTCAGAGAGACCCCTTTATCCCACCCTCCCCCCCCCCCCACCCAAGGACAAGGTCAATGGGAAGGTACATGGGAGGTGACCGTTCTATGAAGGAAGAAGCCAGCACTACCCAGCCCTCCGGGGACAGTCACGGGTCTCTGAGACCCTGCCCTCCTCGCCAGGCCCACATCCTTCTGATGGACCCTCAGGAAGAATCAAAAAACAGGGCACAGGGCTCTCTGGATGGACTCTGCCCATGCTCCGTGGCCCCAAGAGTCAAAAGTCGAAAACATTCTTCTGTACAATATCTGTAGAGCACAGGAGGGGATTCCTAGTCCCAGAGTCCACCAGGCACCAACCAAAACCCCCTCCTCTCTGCACTCCTCGCATTTGTTTTCCTCCTTACTCCGCGTCACTGTGCAAACACTGAAGTCTTCTTCGGAGAAGGCACCAGGCTCACGGTCGTAGGTAAGACATAATCCAGGCCTTTCCTGGCCCCTTGTAGGGGAAGGCGGGTCCCAAGTGTGCATTGTAAGGCGGCTGTATTCTGATGTGCTATGACTATACCTTCGGCCCAGGGACCAAGCTGACTGTTGTAGGTAAGGCCAGGGTGTCCAGGTGGGTACCACGAGGGAGCACTCTCTCGGGGAATGTGGGAGGGAAGAGATGACCCAGCTCCTGGGTCTTGGGGCCCTGGAAAGTTCTGGAATGGTATGCAGGGTGTTTGAAGGGGGCTGGCGGCTCTGTGAGGGAAGGGAGCCATGAACACCCTAACCTCTCCCAGAATCCCAGCAGACAAGGAGAGGTTTTGAAGTGAATCTGGGAGGCTGTGCTTTGGAGACACCTACTATTTTGGGGAAGGAAGCCGGATCACTGTCATAGGTAAGCTAGTCAGGGCTGGAGGGCTGGGAACCTACAGGGAGGGGCAGGGTCCAGGTGGAGCCTCCGATAGGGGTGCCTAGGTTAAAGCATGTTTTTATCAGAAAAATCTGAATTCTCGTCTTGATGAATTCTTATCTTGATGAGATGGACAGCCTCCATCTCCAATAGTTTCATAGACTCGCTGTGTCAAGCCTGGGTCTCCCTACCGAGAGGCAAGTAGTCTCAGCTGGAAAGGGGTCTCCGTGTCCATCTTCCGTCTCCTTGGAGGGTGCCCATCACGGCCACGGTAGATGGGAGGGCGTCTGGCCTTGGATCCGTCAGTCCTGCCGTTTCTCTCCCTCGCGTAGAAAGGAGATGGACACAGGAGAGGGGGGTGAGAAGTCTCACAGGGGGCCAAACTGGTCCTCTGACCGCAGCTTTTCAGGTTGTACAGTTGTCGCCAGCTCCACCTCTGGGGGTTAAAATTCCGCCAAGGAAGGGGACAGGAGGGCTGCAGGTGGACGGGCGGAGGGGTGGGGAAAGAATGGGAGGCGCAGGCACCGTCTCCCTACCGGGCTTTCGCGTCCTGTGACTAATGAGAGCCTGTATTTTGGCAGCGGAACGAAGCTTTCTGGGCTGGGTAAGTAACGGTCTTCCCTGGGAATGATGTATTGTAAGGCTGGAGTTCTAGAAGTTCCCTTTAGAGAAGGCAGGGACTGAGGACACGGCAGAGAAAAGGCAGAGAGTGTGGGTGAGTGGAGAAGGCCCTAGGACCCCCAGGAGTTCTGGGGAGAAGCTCGTTTCTGGAAAGAAGGGCCCCATACCGGCCGCTCTGGGGTTTGCCACGCCCGTGTTATACTGTGGAGCAACCGGGCGCTTGTCCTGGGTAAGGCGCAAGAGCCGGGAGACGGGGCCACTGTCCCTTGGACCCGAAGTGTCTACCTCTCCATTCAGCCCCGGTGGGAGAGGGTTGAGTAAACTCTGGTCCCTGTGGGGCTTCCGGGGAGCTGGGTCTGCCACCACTTTAGATGAGGCTTGTTTGATTCCTGTTTGTCCTCTAAGTCTTCGGCCCATCAACTGCGTCCTTACTCTTCTGTCGGTGGTCCATTCCTCCTTCTTCTGTGCGTGGATCGGCCCCTCCTAAGTCTCTTCCTCTTTCCCCTCTTTCCCCAGAGTGTGCTTAGGCCTTTCTCCTAGTGGGATCCCTTTGGTCCTGAGCCGTGAATCCAGGCAGGGAAAGGTGGCCATCTCTGCCCTCAAGGAGCTAAGACTAGCACTCTGGCTGGAGACCTCTGGGGGGTTTTCCTACAGCCTCCTGCAGCTGTGTTCCTATAATTCGCCCCTCCACTTTGGGACCGGCACCAGGCTCACCGTGACAGGTATCAGACAGGGAGGGAGGTAGAAGGAGGGGGTCAGAGCTGCCCTTTCCTTCCAGAGCATCTCCAGCTTGCTCCGCTGTGTTTGATGCAGCTCTTCAGCCGAGGGCTCATGGGGGCTGTGCTTCTGTGCTTCGTCTCCCGGCTTTCTCGTTCTCCTTCTCGTTGTTCTGCAAGACTCCCCTCCTCTCTCCTGATTTAGCGGGTGTGCTGCTTTACTTTCCCCTTCTTATCTGATCTTCTCCATTTCCCACCCTCCTTCTAACTCTGATCCTGCACTGGTGACCCCGTTTTGGGGAACAGCTCCGTCTTCTATGTTAAAATCCACCCCCAACACCTCCCTCCAGCTCAGAGTGCTGTCCTCGCCTTCCTTGAGTCCTTCTCTGTCTCCAAGATCCATGTGTGTCTTCCTGAGGTGGTTTAAGGACTCAGGAGGCCATAGGGGAGCAGCTTGGTGAGACTGAGGGCGCTTGAGGGGGACTCCTGAGCCCTGAAGGCCGAGGTCCGTGTCACGGCATCATGTGAGCTTGCAGGGGTGGCCCTGGGGAACACTGCGCTTGCTGGGGGTCAGAGGAGGTAGGTCAGAATAAGCTGTTACAACTGGAAACTTACACCATCTTAGCAACAGCCAAGGCAGAAAGAAGAGAAGCAGGTTGAGGCCCCATGCTCTCAAACCTCAGGATCTGTGCTGAGATCAGCGAGTCAGAGGCCCATCGTGAAATGCTAACACACCATCACCACCCTCTGGAGGAAGCAGGCAGATGGGAGAAGAAGGGCGAGGGTGAGATGGGCCTGGGCTGGAGTTATAGACACGGCCAGAGCAGCGGGCCACAGAGGTTCTACCAGATTGGTTGGCTGGGGCAGGCTTTGTCCTGCAGATGGGAGCACATGCCAGGGAGTGTCGTGGCAATTGGAAAGTACAAATCACTGGGATTCAAACTGCCTTGGTTCTGGGGAAGGAGGGGCTCATGCAATTTGCAAAGTGACCTAAACTGTCTCAGGCCCTCTGAGATGTATAAAACAGAGATGACAATGGTAGTCTCTTGGGGTCCTGAAACTGTAAGGGACTAAATCATGTGAAAATCCTTTGTAAAGGATTTACCCTCTTGTAGCCATCCTTTTCATTCTTGTTGTTTATCCTCACTGTGTCACAGAGTATGCCTTTTTCCAAACCCATGTCTCAATTTTGCCATTAGAAACATTTCCCAAACTTGGATAAAGTGGAGGCATCTGGGTTTGCCATACTTCTGCTCCACAAACTCATTCCTAGAACAGAGCCAAACAGAGGGCACAGTACATTCTGGCAACAAGGAGGGTGCTTGAAAGGTAGACGTGTTTTTTTCCCATTCCTCCATGTCTTCACGTGAGGGCCTGCCTTCCAACAATTCCAGAAATTCTCTCCCTTCTGTCAGGCATGTCAAAGGGCCTGGGACTTTATAATATGAACCCTCTGATGAACTGGTCCTCGGACTTTGGGATTTGTTCGTTTCCAAGCTTTTGCTGCTTTTATGAATATAAAACGTGGCTGGAGCTAGGATTCAAAAGCGGGGAGAGAGGTTTGCTGGGCACTGGAAATAAGAAAGGGTTCAACCCATGAACATTTCCTTTCATGGGATTCCAGCCATCCTCGACACCCGGAGTGCCCTGGCGTAGCAGTCGGTATGGAACATCAGATAGGATAATAGCCAGAGGCACAGGGGCTCCACAAAGCAGGTTACATGAAAATCAAAACAAAAGGTGAGTTGGGTAGAGTATAGAGAAAAGAATATGTCAGATGCAACGGGAAAAGTATCTCTTCTGGGGAAGAATGTCTGATTCTAATAGGTGCTGTCACTCAAACAGATAAGCACATACACCCTGCAAAAAACAGGAAAACGATCATTGGAAAAAGTCAGTTTAGTTCTCAGGATCATGCTGCTGGTAGGAATCCTCTACCTCAAAATCCAGGCTTATTTCAACTCTACTGTAATTGCTTCTAAGTCTGAAAAGTTAGCCGTGCACCGAAGAGGGATTTAAACTAGGAAGAAAATAGATATACTCATTCGATGGCTAATCCTCCAGGGCCCCAAGTACAGGGCTTTTCAAACACAGCCAAGAAAATCGGGGTATAATGCCACTTCAGGGACTCGTGGGAGGCAGTCAGTAGTGAGTGCCCATTGAGGAGAGAGAGAAGGGGCAAGGATGAGGGAGACTAACAGCAGGGAATGCGGATGGTGACGCCCAAACGAATCACCCCTGCCTCTCCCTGCTCCACACTAAGCTTCCCAGGAACACGAAACATCAAAACGTTCAAGAGGGATAATCATAAAACTTTTCACAAAACTTGCCCTTTGACAAAGCACTTGCAGGTGTGTGATTTGTTAAGCACTCACAACAACGCTGTGGGGAAGATATTACCCCATTTTTCAGCTGCAGAAACGAAGGCCAGGGAGGTTGCAGGTCACAGAAGTAGTAAGAGGCAGGGTTTAGCCTGGAACACTTCCCAATCCAGCAAAATCTCCATCACATATACCCCTTCCAATTTCACAACCACTGTAAATCCCCAAGCCAAGCTGATTCTCTGCAAATTGGGGTGACCTCATGCAGCGTCCAGATTACTGTGTCCAGAGAGAAGCCAGGGAGAAGGAGGGTGGCCCCAGTCTGTGCCAGGGGAGGAGGGGAAGAGGGAGGAATTCTTGGTAGCCCCTTCCCTCTGTGCTCCTACAGTGAGCAGTACTTCGGGCCAGGGACCAGGCTCACTGTGCTAAGTAAGGAGGTTGCTCCAGGGGGGAGGGAGGATGCGCTGCCCAGGCTGGATAACCCCTTGAACCCTAGCTTTGGGGGCGTGGGCGCTGGACCCTCCTAGGCTGCTGTCTGAGAAGGCAAAGTTTGCTCCTGGGTCCCAGGGCTGTGTGGATACCACACAGCTGTATTCTGGGGATGG